CACTGCGGCCGAGAACTCCACCGTTGCTGCCAACCAGCCTCACTCGGCTTCCCTCTATGTTGGTGAACTCGACCCCTCGGTCACCGAGGCCATGCTCTACGAGCTCTTCTCCTCCATCGGCCAGGTCGCTTCCATCCGTGTGTGCCGCGATGCCGTCACCCGCCGCTCGCTCGGATACGCCTACGTTAACTACAACAACACCGCCGATGGTGAGCGCGCTCTCGAGGACCTCAACTACACCCTGATCAAGGGCAAGCCTTGCCGTATCATGTGGTCTCAGCGTGACCCCGCTCTCCGCAAGACTGGCCAGGGCAACGTCTTCATCAAGAACCTGGACAGCGCCATCGACAACAAGGCTCTTCACGACACTTTCGCCGCCTTTGGCAACATTCTCAGCTGCAAGGTCGCCCAGGATGAGTTCGCAAACTCCAAGGGCTACGGTTTCGTCCACTACGAGACCGCTGAGGCTGCCAACAACGCCATCAAGCACGTTAACGGCATGCTGCTTAACGACAAGAAGGTTTTCGTTGGCCACCACATCTCCAAGAAGGACCGCCAGAGCAAGTTCGAGGAGATGAAGGCCAACTTCACCAACATCTACGTTAAGAATGTCGACCAGGAGGTCTCGGACGAGGAGTTCCGCACTATCTTTGAGCAGTTCGGTGACATCACCTCCGCTACTCTCAGCCGTGACCAGGAGGGCAAGAGCCGTGGTTTCGGTTTTGTCAACTTCTCGACCCATGAAAGTGCGCAGGCCGCCGTGGAAGAGATGAACGACAAGGACGTCAAGAGCCAGAAGCTCTACGTTGGCCGTGCTCAGAAGAAGCACGAGCGTGAGGAGGAGCTCCGCAGACAATACGAAGCTGCCCGTCTGGAGAAGGCCTCCAAGTACCAGGGTGTCAACCTCTACGTCAAGAACCTGACGGACGACATTGACGACGAGAAGCTGCGCGAGCTCTTCGGCCCCTACGGTACCATTACCTCCGCCAAGGTGATGCGCGACGCCTCCAACGTCGAGCGCGTCGAGTCTGAGGAGGAGAAGGAGGAGGGCAAGGAGAACGAGAACGAGAACGAGAACGAGAACGAGCAGGAACAGGAACAGGAGCAGGAACAGGAACAGGAACAGGAGCAGGAGCCTGAAGCCGAGAAGGCCGATGACAAGCCCGCTGAGGGTGAAGAGAAGCCCAAGAAGAGGACCTTTGGCAAGAGCAAGGGCTTCGGTTTCGTCTGCTTCAGCAGCCCCGACGAAGCCTCCAAGGCCGTCACTGAGATGAACCAGAGAATGGTCAACGGCAAGCCTCTCTACGTTGCCCTTGCTCAGCGCAAGGATGTCCGTAGAAGCCAGCTCGAGGCCAGCATCCAGGCTCGCAACACCATCAGACAACAGCAGGCCGCTGCTGCCGCTGGCATGCCTCAGCCTGTAAGTTTGGACGCCCCTTTGATATCTCAACACAAACAACTGACACGTCGACAGTACATGCAGCCCGCCGTCTTCTACGGTCCTGGCCAGCAGGGTTTCATCCCTGGCCAGCGTGGTGGTCTGGCTTTCCCTCCCCAGCCTGGTATGGTCATGGGTATCCCCGGTGGACGTCCTGGCCAGTACCCTCCCTTCCCTCAGGGTGGCCGTGGCATGGGTCCCAACCAGCAGATTCCCCCCAACTTCGCTCAGGGTATCCCCATGGGCGCTATCCAGGGCCCCGGTGGCATTCCTAACGGCATGGCCTACCCTCAGGCGATGGCTCAGGTGCAGTTTGGCGGACGTGGCGGACGTGGCGGTGGTCAGGTTCCTAGCATGCCTATGCGTGGTGGATTTGGTGGCCGCGGTGGTCCCATTCAGGGCATGGGCCGTGGCGGTGGTCGCGGACAGAACGCCCCTGCTCAGCCCGCCGCTCAGCCCGAGGCCCCTGCCGCTGGCGGCCTGACCCCTCAGTCTCTCGCCGCTGCCCCCGCCCCGCAGCAGAAGCAGATGCTCGGTGAAGCTCTGTACCCCAAGATCCAGGCCCAGCAGCCTGAGCTGGCTGGTAAGGTCACTGGTATGCTTTTGGAGATGGAAAACACTGAGCTCCTTGGCCTGTAAGTTTTGCCCCCTTTTGAACTATCATCTTACGCGAAAATCATACTAATGATGTCTTAGGCTCGACGATGAGGAAGCTCTCCGCGCCAAGGTCGACGAGGCTCTCAGTGTTTACGATGAGTACATGAAGAACAAGGGCACAGACGGTGAGGCTGGCGAGCCTAAGCTGGAGGCTGCTGCTCCTCAGGAGGGTGAAGAGAACAAGTCGTAAAGAGATTTACATGGACATGCCCGGCACGGAGATGTTGTTTCACGGTTGATGACTCTTTCTGGCTCCCCTTGATTCACGATTTTTCTTTTCTTTCTATTTTCCCTTTTTTTACCCCCTTCTCTCCTGAACCTGATATCCCTCGGTTTCCTAAAAGTTCTTTCTTAGCGGTGTCTAGTGAACGACAGATCTGTTTCACATCCCTTAGCTTTTTCTCTTTCTTCCTGTTCTTCAATCGCGTCAAGAATCATCGATAGCTTCCTACGTTTTCTTTGCTCGGGACGAATTTCTTGCAGAACGGCAAAGAGAAGAAACCTGGACGACGAGATTAAACGACATTAGGATTCGGCAAAAAAACACAAAAAAGACAAAGCGAAGATGGTCTTTCCCATGGAAAGAGGGGGTTATGGCGTTTCTCATTTCTGCGTTTTATGGTCGTATCTTAGGTTGGGTATCTGACAGGAGTGTAATATAGAGTTTATGATTTCCTCGCGGGATCCTGTTTTTTCTTTTGTTTTACCTTTCATGGTAGTTGCAGTATTGCAATCTCAGATATGTTTATCTCACACCGACTTCCAAGCCCAGTTGTCACCACCCCTAGAGCATGCGATATGGATATATACAGCCTACGGAGCTTAGAAAAGCCGTTGACATATAATCACGGTCATCAAATTTCATTATCTAGCTACATAAAACCTCAGATATCGGATCCAGCATCCTTGTCTTATATACCAGCCGGGACTCATGGACTTGCATACCCGGTAGAAATAAATATACCCTTACTCTACCTCCTCAACAACTGTCTTCTCAAGCCCATCCGAAATGTCATTCCGAATCGGCAACTTCTTCGACGCCCTCACAGCATCCCTGATAGACGTTGACTCGCGGAAGATCTGATCAACTTCTTCGAGAGACCGATTCTTGGTCTCAGGGTAGAAGAGGTAGACAGAGGGCGGGATGATGAGCGAGATAACAGCGTAGACGATGTAATACTGGTATCCGATCTGGGCGATTGCGGTGGGTGTTACCATTGCGACGACGAACATCCTGTTTTGAAATAAAGTAATTAGCCATGTTACTTCATATAGATAAGAATGAGGGAGGGGGAAGTACCATAACCACTGATTCGCCGTCGAAATCGACTGCACAGCAACCCGTAGTCTAGCCGGTGCAACCTCTGCGGGATACAAAAAGTTCGCGCCCAGAAATCCCAACGGCAAAAAGAAGTTATATATAAACAGGAACAGTGCTGAGATAATCGATGCCGTCTGATTCCCCACGAACGACGTCGAGACTGCCATAGCAACCATGCACAATCCCATGCCTCCACCACTAATAATGAATGCAGCACGACGTCCGATCCGGTCGATTATGAAGAATCCCACGAAGCAGGAGAGGAACTTCCATGACAATGCGCAGGCAGCGAGGATCTTGGCCAGACTCGCGCTGAGATCAAGATCGTCTTGGAAGATTGTGGGAGTGTAGACGGAGATGAGGGTGCCGCCGCTCATTTGCTGGAAGAACTGGAGGGTAACGCAGAGGAGGAAGCGGTAGAGGAGTTTGTCTTCGTTTTTGGAGAAGACATCTCTGAGGCGGAGGTTGCCGTGGGAGGATTCTTCGAGGGAGGTTTCGATTGAGTGGAGTTCGCTGAGGACTTCTGAGGAGGTGGTGGATTTGTCTCGTAGGTTGGCGAGGGATTGTTGGGCTGAATCGGAGCGGTTGCGGAGGACTAGCCAGCGAGGGGATTCGGGGAGGAAGAAGATGCTGGCCATTATGGTGAAGGAGAATAGGGCTGGGATGGCTAGTGAGCCTCGCCAGGAGGCAGGCTGTTCCTGGATTTGGAAGAAGCCGAAATTCACCCATTGGGTCAGGGCGAATCCGAAGGCGATGAACATGCCGGTCAAGACGACATTGCGTCCTCTTTTATTTGGTGAAGCGCATTCGGATTGCCAGACTGGCACCGTGGCCGCTAGCATCCCGACACCGAATCCTAGAATCACTCTGCCGACGGTGAATTGAGCCAGGGCATAAGCCGTACATTCCAACGCTTGTCCGATCAATGCAATGAGAGCTCCGGTGAAGATAGTGCGACGACGACCGAGAATATCGCCAATCCATGTGCAAATGAGGGATCCGAAGAGGGCACCGATAGTGTAAGAGGCAATCACCGCACCTTGCACTGTTGCATTGTGGGATTTCTGAGCCCCGGTAGTGCTCAAGGTGTCGATAGCAGGAAATTGCCTGGTGCACGACGGGAAATCAACCAAGCCTCCAACTCCAGATTGATTATAGCCGAAGAGAATGAATGACGGACAAGCGACCAAGAAGATCTGGGCGAGCCCAATCCTTTCACCTTGCATATTGTTCATTGGTTTGTGTTATGCTGTCGAGTGTTGTGTTTAGTTTATAAGATGACAGCTTCATGATCAATCGTACAGATAGAGGGATCACAAAAGCAAGATGGTCAGTCTCGGTCGAACCCCGACCCCATATCAGGAATCACGGGGAGATTCGTCAATCCCGCACGGGCCCTGGGGATAACCCACTCAAGTGGGGAGTCTAAAAATGCTTGTCCCAGTACTTTGTTCGCATAATGGAAATGGCAATGTGGAGATTGGTCAGCCGGGGAAAGCAAATGCATCGGGTGCCGTCCGCCGGAATCTGACCGAGCAAACAAGCCTTTGCATCCGGAGTACGGAGGACGGGGTCGGATAACAACTAGAAACTCGGGTATTGCTGACCGAACAGGTCGAAAAGCGAATCAAAATTCGCTGGAGCCTGGAACAAATCCACCATGTTGAGGTCGAAATTTCCCATCCCGCTTAACCCCGGGCCCGGTCCTTGTCCGGGGGTGGAGGATGTGCCATCGGAGAAGAAAAAGAGACGGTTATTATCTACTTCTGTGAAGTCATTGTCTGCAGCAGCGATGTCTGCGGAGGGGATAGCGACGGGGTCGTTGTACGAATTTGCGAGTTCTTGATTTGGTTCCGGTGACTGAGAAACGGGGTTAATTGTGGATTGTTGCTGCTGTTGCTCCTCGGGGTCGGGATTAGGGACCAATGGAGGATGCATCAGTTCTCGTCCGCCTGTGGAATGTGAGGGATTATTGTCGAGTCTCCGCTTCTTGTTTGCATTGGTGGCTGATCCTTCTTCGCCTTCAGCTCGGTGAGGATACCCTTGCGGCTCCTGTGCCGACTGCTGTATGTTGCTGAATAGTAACGATAGTGCTGAATGGCAATGTTTGGCGGTTTCCCATTGCGCAGACATGATATGTAGAAATTCCAAGCACTCGTTTATTTCACTGTTGTGTCGATGAGAATGATTTCCAGAATGGATCAGGATGCATGGAATAAACTTACTGAGAACCCTTGGACAAGACATATTGCTTCAACTGACAGGCGAAAGCAAGGACAAGGCCGGACATCCAGGCAGCAGAAAGGAATCCAGGCCAGAATAATTCCTGTTTTCCATCAACCTGACTTCTCAAGGCCGTGAGAATTCCCCGAGCAGCACCAATGCAGGTTTGTAGCGCAGAACAGAACTCCGGAGTGGATGGGGCAAGAGACAGGAAAGGTCGGTTGATCAAGAGGATTAAATGTTGATAAAGTACAGTAAAAAATGGACCAAAGTCGAATGGCTTATCCGTGGGTGATGATGATGCGGATGATACCGCAGGAATGCTTGCGTCTGCCTTTGCAGGATTTCCTTGTAGTTCTCGTGGAAGGCTGTTCCACCATCTGTGGACGTCTGAGGCCAAAAAGAGAACAGAACTTCGCCTGATGGATCGAACAAGAACAGATTTGTGAAATAATTCCAGTGCTTGACCAGTGAGCTTTCCGGATTCCACGTAGCTTGCTAGAGCGGCTTCCCTTTTGCGCTGGTCCTCGGCTTCCTGGCTTAACATCTTGTCCAGTCTTATGCTTTGACTCGTGATTTTCTCAAAGGGCGTCCTCCCGAATAAGAGTAAGCATTCGGTCCCATGAATCCCAGGAAGATGAACCTCTGGAGCCCCGGGAGGACAGACGTCGATATCTGAGTCTTGAATACCAAGGGGCAGGCCAAGAGCCTGACTCAGGTACCGATCGATCGCATATGCGCACCAGAAGATCCTCTTGCGCAATTGTCGATCATGCGACGAGAGTTCCTTGTACCGGAACGAACAACGATGAAGACCCGCGTGCAGCATGGATCGCAAAATGCAACCACCCACGGTCGACGCAGTTCGAAGCGACATTCTTGCAACTAGATAGAGCTGCGCCGCTAAGAGAGCTTGCAGTGAAGGAATATCGTGTCTGCATGACAATGTGCCCAGTAGGGGGTACATGCTGCTGGGAGATTCGATTTGGGACTCCCGCGGCAAACGGAGATCGGGTCGCAGAAGGCTTGCCAGGTTGAAGACACATTGGAAGACAGTAGTCCAGCACGCATTCCGGTGTTCGAGAGATGGAAGTAACTTAGCGACGGTAATATCCTGCGCGTCTCCCGAATAAAGCAATTCCATAGCCTGCAAAAACGTCGGACCATGCAGAAAAGGGAACAGCGGATGCCACACTTTGAAATACACCATCATAAGCTCCTTCGCCATATCAACCGGAGGAGCACCACCCAAATGCGCAGCCACTGTTGGCGCATATTTCCATGGGCTCACAGTTTCTGAGTCACCGGCCCTGGAAGGCGACGCTACAGTCGAAGCCGGGCCATGGTGCTTATCCCGCGGCGAGTCTTCGCTGCCCACGAGCGTGTCTTCCGGTTGAGGAAAGCCATGCCCAGACGGTGAAGATCCCGCAGATTGATTGAGATTCTGCGAAAAGGCCTGCCGGACGGTGTTGATGAAATAAACACCACTGGAGCTGCCGACGAACTGGCTCTCTTCGTTGGAATGGGCTGTCAAGGAACCCGTTTCTGACGCACCAGGCACGAAATCAGATGATTCCATCCTGACAAGCTCATAATGAGCAATACTGGATTTCCATTAAAGGTAGCTGTCGATGGAGAAAATAGTCTCATTAAACTGCGCGAATTGAAGTCGCGAAGATTTGGTGCTTAGTCAGCGGGTCGTTAACCAGGCTCTCAGACTCTCTAGCCACTATTTTGCTCTGAGCAAAATAGGCGAGAAATAATTAAATCGGCTAAGTTACAGGCGAGATGCATACATTGACTATTAACTTGCATGGGAATGTGGTGATCAATGCATGCATGCATGCATGTGTCTCAGCATTGAGTGCCCGATATCTCAAATTGCCATGTAGGAAAGAAAGTAGAGCATTTGTATCCTAAACTAAACCATACATTGCCATTAGATCACCATGGAAATTCAATCACCATGCGACCATCCTGTACTTGATTGGTCTCCATCAGGGCTATCATTTTGTTGATCTCTTCCAGCCGAAACTTCCTCGGGTTGACCTTGGGCATAATCTTCTTTCGAAGAGAGAAGTCTAAGCATCGCTGTACCCCAGCCTGCCCAGTAGATCTGCATCCGATGATACTGTTTGCTGTCAGTTAAACCTCGTACAAAGGCAGAGTAGAAGAGCATACTGAATAGCCTGGAAGGTGAGTGGGAGAATAGGCAAAGGCACAATCTCCAGAGGGATTCCGGCTGCAATCAACTTCCCCTCCGGTTTTAGAATGTTCATTCCCGTTTCATACGCAGCCGCAGCGCCGGCCGCCACAAACGCAACATCAACAGTGCCATGACCGCTCATCTCAGCGATCTTTTCCTTCAGAGCATCGAGGCCGAGGGAGCGTGTGTTGATAATCCCATCCGCATAATTCTTACTCGCCTCCAACTGGTCATCTCGTACATCAAGAGCGAGGACCTTCCCTCCTAGCGCCCGGACGTATCGAACTGCTAGCTCCCCCAAACCTCCTACCCCGACAACCGCAACCGTCTCACCAGGGCGAATATGGGCTCGCTCCAAACCATCCCAGACAGTGATCCCGGCACAGAACAGCGGCGATAGGGCCGCTGGCGGAGGAATTTCGACACTCGAATCAACACCCGGGCGAGAAATCAGCACCGCACTCGCCGTATCAATCAAGGTATACTCCGCAAAGTTCCCCGGACGATTAATGCCCAATGATTCCCTAGTGGGACAGAAGTCCGGTCCGGCAGTCTTGCATTCATTGCAATTCAGGCACATGTTATGCCACAGGGAGGCTCCCACGAGATCACCTTCCCGAAACCCATGCGGTGCTGCTTCGGGGCCCAGTTTGTCGACGACAGAGACAGCTTCATGGCCCATGATTATGGGGAATATGTTGCGTACTTCGGGGGGGCCGTCACCTGACATAATGGTCAGGTCGGAATGGCATAGTGAGGCGTCCTTGACACGGACTCGTATCTCACGGCCGCTTGGTTCGGGAATGGGAATTTCCTCGATTACAAGGGGGGCTTTTGCCTGGTATATGGTTAGATATCTTGATCTGTAACATATAAAAGGAAGCATACCTGTTTGCAGATTGCGGCTTTCATCATTCCGGCCATGGCGATTGTGTGTAATTGTTGACTATGAACGGGGAACAGAATACGAAGTCTTAAAGAACCATATATTTATACACGGTTTTGTTAGAAGGTTTAGCGTGTGGACACTTCCGTATACAAGGAGGCGAATCGCAATAGTGACGAATCTCGTCTGGATGTTAGCAGTGCCACGCGGAAGGATTATTTGCCCCAGTTGTACAACGTGGGCGAATTGCAACTTGGAAAGTCTTGTCATTTCTCATTTCTCATATGCAGTGATCTAAATCCATTTTATCCATGTGTTTTAAAATCCCGAAAGCAACCACCCTCTATTGTACAGTAGATATGGTAAAAAGAAAATGAAGTAGTCGTCGTCTACGCCACAGTGCGGACAACATCGTCAATGGCCTTCGCAGTATAGCACACGTTCTTGGTGTTCACTGTCATGGTGTTAGCTAATCCAAAGACAAAAAGATAGTATCGCTCGACTTACAACCAGACATGGAAACTCGGCCAGACTGAAGCATGTAGACATGGTGGCGCTCGCGGATGGCAAGGGCTTGGTTCGCAGTCAATCCCGTGTACGTAAACATGCCAATCTAAACACAGTTAGCATCATGATCATAATGACAATGGAAACTAAATTCACCTGAGACAAGATATGCTCCCACGTGCCCGGCGTACCCAGTCGGACCAATTCATCGTACAAAGCCTGTCGCATCGCAATGATTCGTCCGCTCATGTGCTTCAGATCGCCATGCCACTTCTCCCTCAGTTCCTTGGAGCCAAGGACAATCTTGACAATGTCCGATCCACTACGAGGCGCCATGCCGTACTCACTGCGAGCGAGGAGGTTGAGATTCGCCAGAACCGCCTGCGGGACCTTTCCAGTATCACTGGTAGTCACCACATGCAACGCACCGGTGCGCTGACCATAGAGACCGAAGTTCTTGGAGAAAGACTGTGCGACGCAAAACTCGAGTTGGGGGCGGGATTGCAGGAAGTGGCGAATAGCCCAGGCATCCTCTTCGAGATTGCCCGATGCGAATCCCTGGTAGGCGAGGTCGAAGAACGGGAAAAGGCTCTTGGTCTGACAGAGGTTCGCCAGTTGCATCCACTGCTCTTTGCTCGGGTCAGCGCCAGTAGGGTTGTGGGCGCAGGCGTGAAAGATCACAACGTCACCCCCCTTGGCCTCGTTCGCCAAAAGTTGCGCTGTCTCTCCGTAGTTGAAGCATTTGCCTTCGAAGTCGTAGTACGGATAGGTTTTGATCTGCACCTGGGCGAGCTCCCAGATAGCATGGTGGTTGCCCCAGGTGGGTTCGGGGATCCAAACAGTACACGGCTTGAGAGAGCGTGCAAGGAACTCAGCACCCAGTCGGTTCGCTCCAGTGCCAGAGACAGTCTGAATAGACACAATGCGGTCCTTGTCTCCGCGCTGCAGACCCAGTTCGTGCTCCTGGAGGCTGAAAGCCAAATCACGCGCCAAGGGAAGGAAATCCAAGTCACCCTGAATGGCCAGATATTCGTGTCTTCCTTCGTCCCTCTCTCGATGCAACTGTGCCTCCGCCTCTTCAACGACGTTCAAGGGCCATGGGCCTCCATCCTCGGTACGATAGACGCCTATGCCCAAGTTGACCTTGTTGGGGTGGGGGTCGCTGAGGTATTCACCGTGCAGGGCGAACGGTTCATCCTTGGGGGGAATGGAGAGAGAACCAAAGCGAGATTCAGAAGTTGCAGCCTTGCCTAGAGGGTAGAACTGCGGCGAGATAAGGCTGTCCTCGATCTGCGGTGCCATGGCGCTGGAATGGGTTCGAGAGACTTGTCAGTGGAGAGATGTTGAAGAGAGGAAGACTTAAGAGGCCGCAGCTGGTATTTATAATTCTTACCAGGAGCTTCCATTCACTGGTCAATCGCGTCATCTTATATTCACTTTATACAAAGACAGTGAATGAAAAAGAGAGACATCCATTGCTTGGCCTGGGAGATGTTTGCATCAAACTGTCGTCCATGACGCCGACTCCACCATCCACGACATCGCAAGCATGTGGTACGTCATGTTTCGATCTGGAAATTTCCTTATCGCGTACCTGCATGAAAAGAAAAAAGAAGCTAGCCGTATGTAGCTTTCCGAGTGCCAAACTGTCTCAGCGAATCCGTGCTGGATTTTCGGAATTTGGTTCTTTCTCTTTATTTCAAATCATAAAGAAGGAGGAACATGCTTCAAAACAGACCAATCTTTATCTCCTGTCTGACTTCTGCTTAGACCGCCTATTTCTCCGTGTTCGATCGCCAGATCTTGCATAGTGCAGGCCGTTCAGAACAGAACAGTATCGGTACATCGACCAGCCGTCTAGACTCTGGGCAATCGATATCCATGGAACGGCAGACGGCGAGGCCCGTTCTTCTGTCAAAGCTTCCTCCTCGAGACTCCTTGTCTTCGAGTGTCCGATCCCCATAGTGAATAGGTATCCTCGCCTGAAAGCGCCTGTGAACAACCATCAGAGCTCGTGAGGGATTTCCGAATTAACATCTTATGTATTCAAGGCAGAATGTGCTCTTTTAGTGCCTGTTTTCGAGGGGCAAGATATTGGCGAGATAGGACATCACCGGACACCGAGTATGTCTGGAAATGGAATCCGATAAGTCAGCCCTGCTGTACGGCGTCACCATGATGCCCGGACATTATATATTGATAACATACCTAGAAACACGCCTTTATTAGACAAGAAGCCATTTTAACATCGCCATCAGAAGGTTGACTTCTGTCCGTACTCTATACCAGAGGTTGAAGATGGAGCCAGTAAAACCTTCTCGGCTAAACCTTCAGCCGACGCGCCGCTTTTGGCATCACCGTCGACTCGACCTTATAATGGTTGCTTTTCTCTACAGGACATTTCGGTAAATTCTGAATGTACTGGAAATAATTATGCCCCAGTCGAACGCGAAAAAGCCGTCTCGCATCACGATTGCCTGCAACTCCTGTCGTTCGCGAAAGCAAAAGGTATGCTGTCGCAAGACGAATTGGGAATTGAATCTGTTGCTAACTTATCCATAGTGCAGCGGAGGAAAGTGAGTACTGGTCTATCGCTTGCAAAAATATGCAATACTTATAGAGATAGGCCGGTTTGCACGCAATGTCTCGAACATAATCGCCCCTGTGATTGGCCGGAGCAGCTCAAACGGTACGCTCCAGTCGACAAGTATTCGAGACCCGGAGACCGATCTAATAATTCGCAGAGGTCCCGCAAAGGGTTACATTGAAGTACTGGAGAACCGTTTACACGAAACTGAGACTGTGCTGTTGAAAGTGCTGTCGCAGATTTCAGATGCTCAATTGGCATCGACGCTGTCCCGAGATCAATCGAACAGCGCGAATGGCTATTCACCTTTCTCGCGGATGGGGAAAAAGGGAACTGAATATTGGAAGCGGTATCCGTTGGTAACGGCTGAAAATATTCGAGAATGGCAGCAAGATTGCACTCAGGAGATGTCTGGTTCGACTGGTGAGCAGGACAGAGTCCATTCTGAGCCATCAACGAGTACTGCGATTAGCACACACGCGCAAAGATACGAACCAAATCAGGGCGACGCTGGTGCTCGTGGTCGTTACGATGATTCCCTAGAATTCGAGTCCAGAATGGCTCCACCCGAGGCGTCTCACTCTGTGCATACAGCTGCATCTCCACCCCTACGTCTGCAAGAAAATGCAAGCACGGGCCAGTCTAGGAAACGTCAAAGAAGTGCAGGAATGAATGAATCCTGCATACTGAACTCTCCGAGTCAATCACCCCCGGTAGAAGCTCATCATACATCACAAAAGCCCAGCTTATGGACCGGGGCTCCGCCAATCAAATTCCAGAAACAATTTTTGTGGTGATGACAGCTCCACGGCTTCGTCTTTTCCTGATTAGAATATATGTATTGCATTGCGGTACACGTCAACTTTTCACGCGGGAAATTTTAGCCGAGATGGTGCACGTCCAACGTGTTCTCCTTATTTTAGCGCTTCGCAAGCCTCAGATCATTCGCCAATTGGAACAAATGCCATCTGTCACTGAGGTTAGTCCGTGACGATCGAATTCCTATCGGAATCAATCCGGTCCTACGACATGAGCCGCAAAGGGACCTTTGTGTTGTAAATACAAGGTAGTCTAGCTGGCCCCTGCTATAAAATGCTAGTGTCCCATCGTCCGCGGAGTTGATGGCCAAAGGGCCCACACAATGCCATTGAACAAGGTAAAGCACCCGAATACGCACTATACCAAATCACCCTAACCTCAATACCAGGTGATTATAGTCGGCGCAGGCCCCACAGGCCTAATCCTAGGCCTCCTCCTCGCCAGGCAAGGAATCCACGTCGACATCCTCGACGCCGGCGCCACCCTCGACAAGCAGCCTCGCGCAGCACACTATGCCTCTCCCGCAGCCTACGAGCTCGACCGTGCGGGCATTCTCGACGATGTCACGGCCCGCGGAATCAATCACAAGAAAATGGTCTGGAGGAAGATCGACACGGATATAGTGGCTACTATGCGTCTTGATCGTATGCCCGAGGAACGGAAGCGGCATTCTATGGTGGTGCTTCCATTGGGTCAGTTGGGAGAGATTCTGTACGGTCATCTACAGCGGCAAGCGACGGCGAGTGTGAGATGGTCGCATAAGGTCGTTAAGGTTGGTCAAGAGGAGTGTATGGCTTGGGTTGATGTTGAGACGAGGAATGGTAAGAAGAGGTTCGAGGCAGATTATGTTCTTGGATGTGATGGGGCGAATAGTACCGTGCGACGAGAGCTATTTGGACCTGGATATCCAGGCGAGACGTTGAATGCACAGCTCGTTGCTACGAATGTACGTTCCTTTAAACCCCATCCCAGAAATCCCCAACTCACAAACCAAAAGGTCTACTACAACTTCGACCGCTACAACTACACCGACACAAACTTCATCATCCACCCCAAGAACTTCTACATGGCTGCGCGCATTACCTCAGACGGTCTCTACCGCGTAACATACAGCGACACCCCAGGCCTCACGCGCGAGGAATACATCGCGCGCCAACCATCGCGCTATCAGGAAATCCTTCCCGGAAACCCCAAACCAGGCGACTACCAGATCACGAATATCAGCCCGTATCGGATGCAGCAGCGGTGTGCACCGTCGTTTCGAGTGGGACGGGTGGTTCTTGCTGCGGATGCGGCGCATGTTTGTAATCCATTGTACGTATTTCTTGGAACCCGGGAAACTGCAGATGCTAATTTGTGGTGCAATAAAAGTGGCGGTCTAGGTCTCACCGGCGGTATCGCAGATGCAGGCAGTCTCTTCGACGCGCTAATGGGCATCCACCTGGGCCTTTCTGATGATAGCATCTTGGATAAATACAGTGAGGTGCGAAGGAAGACCTGGTCGGATGTGATTGATCCCGCGTCTAGGGAGAATTTCCGACGGCTGCATGAGCAGGAAGCAAATAATGCACGGGAGAACGATGTGTTTTTTAGGCTTTGCGTGAAGGCCGAGGGAGATGAGGGGCTAGCGAGGGAGCTGGCTATGGTGGGTTTGCCCTCTTTTGATGCGATGGTTAGTTGTTGTTCATGCTAATGTGACTAGGGACTGGAGGTGCTGAGACATGACATGACCCAATATTACAACAAAAAACCGGACACTGTCAATGTTAGGAGTAAGCTCTAACTGTCTACAACGAATACCGACCCACGCTTGAAATGTGTACAATCTATTCAATCTATACAAAGGTATCTAATGTTTATACATAACCATCATCACATCACATCACATTTACAGCATAGGCTTCAAGTCATCAGCGACCTTGAAAGGAGCAGCAGTCTTGCTGCGGATCTCATCAACCGAGACACCCTCAGCGTGCTCGACCAGGGTCAATCCCTCAGTAGGGCTGACGTTGAAGACAGCCAGGTCAGTGATGATCTTCCACACGCAGCGGGGACCGGTAAGGGGGAAAGAGCAGTCTGCATCACATTAGCTGGTGTACTAAGGTGTGATGTGGTATGATGGGGATGAGGGACTTACCAGGAAGGATCTTGGGGTTACCCTTCTTGTCGACGTGTTCCATGGTCACAACGACCCTGGTCTTCTCGGGGTTGGCGACCAGGTCCATGGCACCACCGACACCCTTGACCTTACCGGGGAGCATGAAGTTGGCGAGGTCTGTTGTCGTTAGGATTGAGCAAGATAGTTACCAGGATAAAGCGACATACCTCCATACTGGCTGACCTGCAGAGCACCAAGCATAGTGAGATCAATACGACCAGCGCGAATCATACCGAAACTCTCGTGGGAACCGAAAAGCGAAGCACCAGTGCCCAGAGTGACAGTCTCTTTACCAGGGTTGATAAGGTCGGGGTCCTCCTCACCAGGCTGGGGGTAGCCACCCAGACCCAGGATACCGTTCTCGGCCTGGAGGACAACCTCAACACCCTCGGGGAGATACGAAGGAGCAATCAAAGGCATGCCAATACCAAGGTTAACATACATTCCGTCCTTGAATTCCTTGGCCGCACGCTTGACGATACGTTCCCGACGGACAGTAGCATCACCCGAGCCAGCCTTGAGCATCTCAGCAGGGTCCTTGGCGAAAGTAGCCTTCTCAACCATGGTCTTCTCAGTGCTCTGAACGACCTTGTTGACATAGATACCCTGCAAGTGGACATTTTCCGGGTCGATTTCACCAACGTCGACAATGTGTTCCGCTTCAACGATAGTATACTTGGCGTTCTTCGCCATAGCTTCATTGAAGTTGTTCATTGCCTTGCGGAACTGGCAGTTACCCAGCTTGTCGGCCTTGTGTACCTTAACCAGAGCGTAGTCACCGAAGATGGCTTCTTCCAAAATGTATTCCTTGCCGTTGAAAATGCGGGTCTCCTTGGACTTGGACTTTTCCGCAACCGTTCCGTCCTTGTTATAACGCACGGGGAGTTCACCAGTTTGAATAATCGTTCCGTAAGCCGCAGGGGTGTAGAAAGCCGGGACACCGGCAGCACCAGAGGCACACTTCTCTGCAATGCTGCCTTGGGGAGTGAGTTCGAGGGAGAGGTCGCCGCTGAGATACATTCTCTCGAAGACTTTGTTTTCACCGATAAAGGACGCAATCATCTTGCTGATCTGGCCAGTTTCAAGCAATTGCCCTGCGCAAGTCAGCCTTTCTTTTGTTTCCTCTCATGGTCTTCAATTCAATTCAAATGACAATGACATACCAAGACCAGCACCGGGCATGCCCGCATTGTTCGAAACAACCGTGAGACCCTTGACCTCAGGACGATCGCGCACCGCATTGATCAGGGTATTCGGGACACCAGAAAAACCAAATCCACCAACCAGGAGGGTCGAAGGACCCTTCATGTCCTGGACGGCTTCGTTCGCAGAGGGGCATAGTTTATCAATCGCGCGTTTTGATGTTGACACGGAAAAATTCCGCCGCCAGAGCGGGCGGAATGCCGCGACTGCAGGGGACGGTCTCGTCATCCTGCAGTACTATATTAAATGTTATACCAGAGGTAATTGAGGTAGTGAAGAGAAAAGAAGAGGAATTGAAGATAGATTAAATCAAGCAGCATATCGCCATTCGGCTACATCAGATAGAGAAGAGCCGACTAAGTGCTTATCCGGGCTGAATATGGGACTGCCCTTTGCCGGTTCGGAAGCCGGTATTGTATTATATTGTAATCTGGAAGCGAGTGTACTTGTAGTCGAGGTTTCATGAGATATTAGGGACCCCAAGACTGAATAGTAAATGATCTTTGACTAGCTCTCTTCAGCTCAATTTGCATAGTATGATCATCGCATATAACTATCATTGTGGTATTAGCGCAATAGTTAGTAGTTATCATCGGTGCTGAGTATAGATCTGTATGTATCGTAATATCTTCCGATCGGGAAGCGCATCGGCAACAAACATTCGGCTTGCCATCGGGACGAAGTCGGCATGTAGTAGACTGCAATAGAGTACGGAAAGTTACAGGGCAGAGAAACATGTTGGAATTTAACGGTATTTGAATGAGAGCAAAGTCAGTGCCATTGAGTATCTACGAAATGCTATAGACGCTTGTGTATATCGGTTTAAAATGCTTCATCGTTATCAGATTAGATGTGGGGTTGATAATCTGGGGTATGAGTAGCGCCATAAACATAGCACACAAGCATAACGATAACTATGTATCTTACAAGTACAGAGCACAAGAGCAGTACAGAAATCCCCGACACTTACTCCGTACAAATGTATCTCAACACCGGCTCCAGCACCGGTAAAGAGCTCTCACGTGGGGCAGCCTAGTTGTATTTAAGCCCCACGCCACTCCGATCTCCTTTCATCCTCAGCTCTCCTCACCAGCTGTACACATACCCGCCAGACAAAATGTTAATCAGAGGCGCCAAAGAAGTTCTCAAAAAGACACCACAAGATGTGGTCGTCCTCTCCTCCGTCCGCAGTCCCATCGGGCGCGCCTACAAAGGCGGCTTCAAAGACTCCTACCCCGAAGAAATCCTAATGCCCGTTATGCAAGCCGCCGTCAAGAAAGCCAACATTAACCCCGGCGATGTCAACGACGCCATGATCGGAAACGTCCTGGCTGAGCTGGGCTTCGCTAAGACTGGTCGTATGGCGCTTAATCATGCCGGTTTCCCTAACTCGACTACTTTCCATACCGTTAACCGTCAGTGCTCTAGCAGTTTGCAGGCATTGACGCACGTTGCGAATTCGATTTTGGTCGGACAGATTGATGTTGGTTTGGCTGGCGGTGTTGAGAGCATGACCCGGAACTACGCGACCCGGGCGATTCCCGTCGATGTGTCGCCGCTGCTCAAGGACTCGCCGGTTAAGGATGCTAAGGACTGCATTCTTCCCATGTTGAAGACTTCTGAGAACGTTGCGGCACGGTACAATGTTGGTCGGAAGGAGCAGGATGAGTTTGCGGTTGAGAGTCAGCGACGGGCTAGTGAGGCGCAGAAGTCGGGACGGTTTGCGGATGAGATTGTCCCGATCAATGCGCGTCATGTCAACCAGGAGACCAAGGAGGAGACAACTAAGTTGGTCGAGCATGATGAGGGTGTTCGTCATGGCGTGACTTATGAGAAGTTGTCGGGTCTCAAAGGTGTCCTTGAGGGAGGGGCCAGCACCGCTGGTAACTCGTATGTTTCCTGCCATATTTGAACGCTGGATAAAACTAACTAAATGGAAGGTCGCAAATCTCCGACGGTGCCTCGACGACAATCCTCGCCAGCCGCGCATGGGCCGACGCCCACGGCCTGAAGCCTATTGCCCGCTTCGCCGGTACTCAGGTGGCCGGCAACAACCCCGACGAGATGGGTATCTCGCCCGTTTTCGCCATCCGCAACCTCTACAAATACTGTGGTATCGAGCAGAGCGATGTTGGTATCTTCGAGCTGAACGAAGCCTTTGCCAGCCAGAGCATCTACTGTGTGCGCGAGCTGGGTATCGACATGGCCAAGGTGAACCCCAACGGAGGCGCCATTGCCCTGGGTCACCCCATTGGTGCTACTGGTACCAGACAGGTTGCTACTCTGCTGGCGGAGATGCTGAGGCAGGATACTGAGATGGGTATTGTGAGCATGTGTGCCAGGTAAGCACCCTGTATCAATTGGCGTGATGAGTGTGATCGTATACTGACTTTCCTAGTACCGGAATGGGTGTGGCCTCGCTGTTCATCCGCGAATAAACGACATAGACATTTGTACATAGGCTTGACGATAATGATACCTGATGCACATAGCACTTTCCAGTAGACTGTAGGGCCCTATTCACTGTGGATTAGAATTTCATGAAGTATGCTAGTTGCAGATATTCCAACCCAGATGTTTCACAGTCTAGTAGGGCATCTCCACATCCACATGCCCCGCAAGATGTCAAACCCTATGCTCCATATGGGTTGATAGAGCCAGGACATAAAGACTGACATAGCCCGTGTCCAACACTCAATCGATTTCATATTCTGCCAGTGTCGTGCCAATATGTCTGCCAAACCACGACTTCCGCTGACTGCTCCGGAATCCGCTTCCAACACGGGCTTGCGCCCTGCCGGAGCATCCTCCAGCCATGCTTCACTACGCAACTGCGAGTTCATCTTCTTGACTTCCTTGCACTATACAGGGCCATTTCTCATCCTCGGCTATTATGTCAAATTTAGTAATCCTACGGTTCTTGCTGGCCTACAGTTATATCCGGTATCGTATGTAATGATACAAAGGTTGACATTACATATCCGTCAGTTCCTCGCAAATATTCTGTCGATCATTCCCGACCAGGCTAGCTGTGTATGGTAATGACGAGACCTGACCGTTTCTCGCCGATCCTCCAACATTTACACGTTCTCCCCTCACCTTCTGTTCTTCACTTATGTTTTTTTATGGCTCTCGCCTTTCTGCTCATATACTGCTTATTCTATTAATGTTTCAATTGCCGATGATGCTTCCCATGTCGTGATCCAGTTCTTTCATCCCCCCCCCGCGGCGTCATGGTGTTGAAAAAGTGTACCATTTGTGATCGCCGGTTCAAGAAGACGGAGCATTTCAAGCGCCATGAACGGTCGCGTTAGTATTTACCTAGGAGTCTGAGTTTTGCGGTGCTTATGTTTACTGACAGCCTGATTAGATACGAATGAACGCCCATACGAGTGCAATGTCTGCCATAAACGGTTTTCGCGGAGGTACGTCTCGAATCTCGACTTTCGGTCATTGCGCAAATGCGATCGAACGCCGGAGACAGTTCTAACACGTCGGATCTAGTGATGTCCTGAGTCGCCATGCCAAAGGGCATAATCCCCAAAACGCTGTGAACGGACCGGGAAGGAAACCCTCCGCAACTTCTGACCGCCGCCCCTCGACCATCACCGGAACCTCGTCCACCATTGCCCTTGATGAAAATGGCCAACAATTACCCCATAGCACACCCGCGGAAGGTGCAAATCAGTTTGCGAATGCACCGGTTACGCCCCAGGAACTACCTCCTCTATCAGCGGCAACAGTCATCCCGCCTTCATCCCTAGACTTTCTCGCAGATATCTCGACCCATCAACATGCGCGTACCGAATCAGACGTCAATCCAATGATGGTGGATAACAGACAAGCTTATATGTCTTGGAATGGGGTAACACCGGCCGGGCAGCACACCCACAATGAAGCCATGTTTGGCACCATGCCCAATGATATCATGCAGCTGTGGCTGGAACCACGTGGGGATGCAAGTTCCCAGCATGGCTCGTTGGATCTAATGCAGGATTCAAATTCCGGTCTGGTTGAGAACAACTTTTCTCTATATTCGGACCGTCAATACAGACCCTCCATCGACACTGTCAATTCCGAAAACATACCCAACGAGCGCTTTGCCAAAGTACAACGCTTCTGGCTTGCGCCATCCAATGCAGGGCGACGGCCGGTGAATATTTTGTGGGGGTACGTGGCTTGCAGCGATCTGGAAAACATATTTGCAATGCCTACTGTGGATCTGCTCGATGATCACTCTGATAGACTCCAAGGCTCGCGGTATTGGTTGGATGAGCAGTGCAAACAACGTCTTCAGGCGGCTTTTGGCCAATTGCCTCCTCAAGTACATCCAAACAATCCTCTCTCGCCGACATCTTTGGATTCTACTCTGCACTCCCTCCCATGCTTCCCTCCCGCAGAAGTCTTGGACATGGCGCTTGATCTTTACTTCCGCAACTTTCACCCGCTCATGCCGTTCGTTCATATCCCTACATTCTCAGCGAAAAAGACACGACTTCCGCTACTCTATGTGATGTGCCTTATCGGCATGATAATGTTGGACACAAGAGGAACGACAAACTTTGTGATCAAGAATTTCCCCTTCGTCCTTGGGAGAGTAACAGCGGAACTGGGAAGATGCTCTAGTGGATTTGAGTCTCCGTTGGAAACGATGTCTACATATGCAACTGCTCTTCTTTTCCTTAACCTTGCTGCAATGACCGGAGAAAAGGAACACCTCGAACAATGCCAGATGTTATACGTCAATCTACTCTCTATAGCACAGAGAGACGGACTTTTTTCAGCAACCGAGGGCCAGATATTGGACACGAGTCTGTTTGAGTCGATCGTCGACACGGATACCCGATGGAAAGCTTGGAGTAAAGTGGAATCCACGAAGCGGTTGATCACGGGGCTGTTGACTCTGGACTCTTGGTATTCTTCGTTTTTGAATACAAGTCCCATCATTGTCCCAGATTCAATCCAGTTCATTCTCCCATGCAATGAAGCGCTTTTCCAGGCATACAACCCGGCGCGCTGGATACAGCTAGTTCAAAGTGGGGAACGGATATTGGCACCGACAGTGATGACTCCATCAGAGGATATCAATCTTCCGACATTTGACAGCCCCGTTGAAGATTTTAGTATGCATGGCATATTGGCCACAATCCAACTACGAATTTCAGGCGCTTATCATCGCCTCCTGTCAAATCGCGCAAGCTACCCATTTGCACCCTGCCACACATACGCAATGGACGGTCGAGCCAGGTGCTTGCCCTCCCTTCAGCTCCAAGTTGCAAGCAAATACGGCGAAACACTGGAGCAACTCAACCCCAACGCCGCTGTCATGTGGCACAACATGTGCATGATGCTTACCGCAGATATTCAAATCTTCCACATGGCCGCAGGCCGTGCAGGTCCAGACCCAGCCCGCCAGGCACTCGACGATATCGCCGCTTGGTCGCAAACACCAGCAGCCCGGAGAGCATGCTTACACGCAGCACATGTTTACAAAGCGATGATCAATCGCAAAGCGTCAGACCATACCACCTTTCATACAGTCTTCTCCCTCTTCTCAGCCGCCCTTGTCCTGGGCTTGTATACATTCATGGTACCCAGTTCGCCCGAGCCATCACACGGAACCACATCAATCGAGTTGTTGGATGATGTCGATTGGCAAAAAGTGGGGACGGAGGGATTCACCAGCTTCATGGAGCCGCGAGGCAGCTTGGCAGTCTCGGCTACTGATGATCCCGCGGTGAGCTTTATCCGGAATGGGGGCACAGTATACATTCGCGGGATACCCTTCCAAGGCGGGTATCAGTCCGCTCGACGCATTTTGTTGGACTATGCTGGTCTTTTGAAAGATACAGGGAAGTGGAGCGTGCGAAAGTTTTCGTATGTGCTTCACATTATGAGTGATGTTCTTATGGATGTGGAATGAGCCGTTCCAGTTGGAGGGGAGGTTATGTTCTTGTATATATAGTTCAATGCGCTGCTGGCGCATTAATTTCTGTATGATTTAGTGATGTACGAAGTGTATGATACGAGCATGGTGTATATGATAGCGTTATCGATGATATTTACTCAATTACCAATGTCCCAAAACCTAACGCCATAAAAGCGATCCGTTACCATCCTATCCAAAACCCAATCATCATAACAAACTCCGATTCTCAACCCTCCTCCCCAAAACCAGCAACTCCTCCTCCGACGCATTAACACTCAACATATACCTCCCACCCTTCTCCAAAAACGACGCTCCCCTCGGATCCCCCGCAAGAACACACCTCATCAACCCATCATCATGAAACGCCCTCGCATACCAACACGGCTCCTCCGTATCCGCATCAAATATGCGCTTATCTCCCCACGAGATCCCATAGTTCCCCGCGCCCATGAAGCCCGGGTTGATGCTAATGCCGTTACACACAGCATCGGGGATGTGCAGCACATCGTGTAGGAGTAGGGTGTAGGTGCTGGGGTCCTGGGGACTGCGCTCGAGGTCTAGTTTGACGGTTCCGACGCCTAGGACGCGGGTGCGGCCGTTGACTTTGCAGGGTGCGCGGCGGTAGGTGATGAATGCGGAGCGGTTTTTGGCGTAGTGGTTTGTGCCGCCTACCATAATCCAGTCCCAGCAGCGTTTGCTGGAGCTGTTGTTGTTATTATGGCTGTTGTTGCTGCTGCTGGTGCTGGCGATGCTTTTGTTGTCGTCGCTGGTGGATCCGTTGGTATGGTTGTCGTTGTCGTTGGAATTGTGGTTGTTATTTCGGGACTGGTTTGCTTGTTTCTGGCCGTGGTGTCTCGCATGGTGCGATTTGCGCTGTTTTTTGCATTTGCTAAAGTCGCGATGGTGGTTGCTAATGTCGCCCATAGTGGCTTATATTAAGGGTAACTAAAGGATAGATCGAGAAGATGAAGTGATGTACCGCTAAGGAAAACGGATTGAGAAGACATGTTGGAGGGCAGAAATGCGGAATTCGTAAGGGAGGCGAGGATATGTCAGATCGTTGACGTGTGTCTCTCCAAATCGGCTGTCTTTTGCTGTGGACTCTGTATGGTCGTTCCAAGGATGTGGGCGAGTGGATTTCGATTGGGTTTAGCGCCACTTTATGATCGACATAGCTTAGTGTCGGTGCCTCAGGCTACTGTGGTATAGGATTCCGCAAGTATCCCGATTCTGTTCATTTTCTAGAAAAAGGCTCTGTTTGGTAATAGTACAAGAAATAATGAAAGGCCTATTTATGTTGAGACGAAGACTGGACAACAATGATATCGACATCGAACACCATTCAAACAACCACCAGAAATCAAACATCGAGCAATAAAACGCAAGTAGCCTCAGCTACCAAAGGTGCAGTTGCAGAGACAGTCGCAGCGGCAGAGAATATCGGTTTTCGTGTCTTTCTCGCATTATATTCTGCTAGTAACATATCATCTATTGCTATTGGTAAAGCCACGGCTGTGCTGTCACTTTCGAACATCCTGTTCTCGTTTATGCCGCTTATGGATCTCTCGACTATCCGGTTTGAGAAATTTTGTTCAACTTTCTGGGCGCAGCTTCCAGCTTTGCTGCCATAATCTCCTGTGTGGGATAGCACCATGGCCAATACACTTTGCTATGGGTGCCTTACATCTGCCAGTCAAGGCCTAGTCCCACTCTGATTGCTGCAACCATATACCAGCAACACAAACAAGTCAATTTTGAACATCCCACATAGGCAATGCTCAGAGCACAAGGTTTTTGCTGTGATAATAGATTAATCTTAATAGCGAACTCACAGTGCAATCCCGTTATGACAAACGGTGTACTTTTTTTATTCTTCGCATACATTTTCGGCCCTCATTTGGGCGTAGGGGAAAGCCCCTGCTCTCCATGATGGATTGTATTTCTTTTTCATATTTCTTTGCGGTCTCTGGAAGCATGATCGCCTTTTTGGGTGTTTGGAATTCCAAAGATTGGTCGTTAAAATAACGGGCCGGTGATGAGACCTTCCTTGAGGTATCTGAAATTATACCCGTGATGGAGAAGAGACTAGAGATGATGATAGAGGGAGAGGGAAAGTGTAGTCAATCGACAAATGTGGTTTAGCGTGGCGCCTCTTCCCAAGTAATACTCTTACTCAAGGCTGTCTGGTTATGATTCTGTTCATTTTCAAAGCAATTGGATATGTATAACCCCAAAATTTCTATATCTAACATCGAAAGCAATTGTTGCAGCCCTTTGAAGTCAACAATGGACCAAGTAGCAATGGCTCTCCCAAACAGGACTATCTGGATTTGTGCATTAACTACGGAATGCCACTCATGTCTTTCAATATAAATCCATTAAAGTACTGCCCTAGTAACTATTCGAAAACCCCGCGTGAGACTATCATGTCGCATATATCAATGTTGTTAATAAATAATTATTCAAAGAAAACATAGACCGGATAACATGCTCGATCTTGCTTATCCCATCTCGTCTCACCCCGAGATATAATTGTAGACCCTGCTTCTCAACTATCCAATCCAGCCCGCCGGCGTAGCATCGCCATATCTTCGTCTGAAACAAAAACACTCAGGCTAAAAGGTCCGTTCGACATGTACGACATCCCGTGCAGTCCTCCAGCCAGGACAGCCTGATAAAGTCCGCAGTAGCGATCAACATAAAACAACGGTTCTCTCGTGGTCGAATCGAACACCTCGGTCAGCTCATGATAGATAACCGCGAAGTTATGCTCCCTCACGACCGTAGAGTTGATGGTAATACCATTACAGGGCGCCGTAGGAATGTTTAGGACATCTTTCTTTCAAGACCAGTGTGTAGGACCTAGTCAGAGTATAGACCCTGAAGTGCTTTAGGAGAACCGGTTTCGAGCTATTGATTGATGAAATAGCCTTGGAACTGCCTCGTTGGTAGTAAAAACTTACTGAATTGATGGATGCTTCCTACAGCCCAACTGATAGGGCTTGTAAATTCTCTCAAGCGGTGAACGAACCAAAAGAGACGATACGGAAGATGGTTTCGATTAATTTTATCGAAGGGGCGAGAGAAGAGATGAAAGGAGGATAGAATCAAGGGGAGGAGTTGTTGCGCTTATAGAAGACCCCAGGTACCCGTCATTCACAGACTAGGATGCCACTCCAATGGTCACTATTTATGATGCCTGGAATAATCATTTATCAAAAAGTCCCAGGACAAATCTGTGCGGTTAGATGGCTTTTATTTACAAAGTAGCAACGGGGTATATACAGCCAAGAAGCCGCCATCTATCTATACAGAAGACCATCGACCATCTTTCCAATAGCAAGAGAGCTCGTCAACCCCGGACTCTCAATTCCCAGCAAGTTGATAAACCCAGGGAAGCCCTCTTCCTCTTGAATAATGAAGTCGTGAAAGCCCTTTCCTGTATTCACTGCACCGCCGCGACCCAGTTTAGGCCGGATCCCGCAGTAATCTAGATCAATCGCTTCCGGGTTGACGCGAGGAAGATAGGACAGGATCTCAGGTAATGCCTGCTGGAGTCGCGCCGGACTAGGCCTCAAATCGGTCGGGTCGTCCACCCATTCCACATCAGGTCCAAAGCGAATGCGGCCTCCCATGTCCAATGTAAGATGGGTTCCCAAGCCGCCAGTGCCAGGCAAAGTAGCCGGATACACCAGGACAGACGTCTTGGGTTGCGAGGCAGAGTAGGAGAAATACGTCCCCTTAGCATAGTAAGGAATACGATGCCTCTCCTCCGGAAGGACCATATTGTTAATCCAGCACGCAGAATTCCCCGCACTGTTCACCAACGTCTCCGCTGTAATAGATGTCTCCTCCCCATCCGGCGACACAGCCTTAATTTTGTACCCATCCCGACCACCATTCAACGCCTCGATCCCCGTCACACTCGTCAGGAACGCGCAGTCACCTCCCTGGTCCTCGATGTCCCCTTGCAAGAAGGTCATCAGTGAGTGGCTGTCGACGATTCCCGTTGTCGGGCTCTCGACAACACCCGCCTCTGCGCGGACCTCTGGTTCTCGTCTCTGCGCTTCTTCGCGGCCCACGATTCGTGTCGGGACGCCAATGGTCTGCGCGTGTTCGTGAACGCGGAGGGAGGCCTCCCACTGTTCGTCGGTTTGCGCGACGATCCATTTCTTGGTGTTGATGTGGGGGATGCCACGTTTTGCGCAAAGGTCGTACATCATCTGTTTTCCTTCGATGCATAGCTTGGTTTTGAGGGAGTCGGCTCCGTAGTATAAGCCGGCGTGGATGACCTGCCACAAACCCGACTTAGTATGCGTTTGCGCTTCTGATATAAGTCATTCAAAGAAGAAAGAGAGAACTGACCTCCGAATTCCGACTGCTCGTCTCTGTCCCAGGCGCATTATGTCGCTCCAGTAGAATAGTCGACGTCCCTTCCCTCGCGGCCAGCTGGCGCGCAACTGCGAGACCTACAACACCTGCCCCAATAACCTTTCAAGTATAAGCGCATGCTCGCATGTGATGTTGGGAATCAAGTTGACCGTATCCGTTGGGAAACGATAAGAAAAGAGGAGATAGGTACCGCATGAGTGACGTCCGCAGCGGCCGCTCTCGTGCTGGAGAAACAGCGGCGCGAAGAGAACGACCGGGAAACTGAAAGACAGGCACGAGTCGCCATTTTTCAGAGGATGCAAGGTCTTTTGCACAGGATCCGTGGTTATGAGGAATTTTGAAAAAACTTCATTTGTACGGGAAAATGCAGAGTAGATGTTATTGCTCCCCGCAATGGCGACATCGGGACCCATAGATAAGGCGGCGGCGCTCCTCCAGGTACTTTCTACTCCATACCAGGGGTACAATTGGGATGAAACTGTGGAAAATTCGTTGTTTTTGCAAATATAGTTATATGTTGGTTGGACACTGTCATCCCGCTTCAACGCCTTGTGCGGGGTATGGGACCGATATTTTACAGCAATGCCAGTATTATCGCTAAATATAGAAGTCTATCAATGAATATATGCCGATAGCCAAAAGACAAAATCGGGTGTCTTGGAAGAAGAGAAAGTCAGGGTATACGCTCTAACCGCGCTTCCCAGAATTCCTAAGCATCTGCTCCAAATGCTAGAAGAGTCAGCACCGAAACGGAGGAAGATCGATAGGCAAAGACTGCTTACCTGTTTCTGCTCAGCCGCTAGTTTGCCTTGGGTATCCTGTGCCGTCGGTTAGCATCTTGAGAAAACCAGGGTTAATTGCTGCAACACATACACTAATAATGGTGAGAATCAAAGAATAATTGTTGTAAAGAAACCGCTCTCTCCGTTTCGCGTCTCCGCCAGTCCGACTCAACTTCGCAAGAAGCGAATCAAACTCAGCAGTCAGTCGCCTCAGACTGTTGGACACCGGCTCATCATCCCCAGCATCGCTGCTGAGCACCAAAATCCCGTGCACCAGCTGGCCAAATCGCTGTGTAAGAAAATGAGGCGCTGTTGAGCGGCTCAAGTCATCACCTCCTGCGAGGGAGAGGGCTGACACGGCACTTCGACCCGTGTTCGCCGCCACTCGTTTGAGAGATTCACAGTGAGCGTCCATAATTACCTGGAGGCGTGGCCACAGCTGCATGTTGATGCCGTTGATATATGAATCGGAAACGGGGACTTTGCGCCGCTGCAACTCAAAAGCCGCGTGCTGGTTGAGGCGGACACACAACAGAACGCCCAGCGAATCCGTAGTCTGTTCGATCAATTGCTTTGTCATGCCGTACCCAAGGGTGAAGACAGGTTCAAATATCTCCATGGCCTTGCGGGTAATTTGGTGGAAAGTCAATGCGGAAAACATCTCGGCCATGAACGAGTACTCAGCAGAAACGTTGTCCAAGATGGCAAGGTTGAAGTTGCGGAAAGGAACCTCTATCCCATGGAAAGCATTATCCTCCTCAGCTACATAGGAGGAAATAGCCATGGGGTTGCCGTTCCGGAGAATGTCAACCCTCCGTCCTAAAGAAAACGGGTCGTGTGCCGCAGATCCAGCTCGGCCACCAGTAATGATATTTCCTGTCCTTTGCGCTGAGGGGTCCCCTCCAAGAACATCGTTCCGATCGCTAGGGTAAATCTTAATCTTCTCGAGCGCTAGAAGGTAACGGTTGAAATGCGACGAGTAATACCACCGCATCGTGTTGGTGTACGCCTGCGTGAGCTCCCCTGCAAGTGTCGGGTGAGCTCTTGATAAATAGCTGTATAGGTCTTTAAACCTAACCAGGCGCTGTTGCTGGATTAATTGAGCATTGATATTAGGTGACCGCAACGCCCGGATCTGGGAAACGAGATAGTCTCGGATTCTTTCGACTGCCTGCAAGACATGAGCATTAGTTATCATGCTGAATGGAACAAAGGAGACTTACCTTGCTCTTGAGATCGCTGAGAAGCGGACGAACATCATCGATGGATTTGGTGCTGCTGGAGCTGGATGCCTTTGCCTCTATACTTGCGGCTCGGGTCTCAATCTCGTTGAGAGCCTTGACCCAGTTGTCATCGATTGGACCTTCTGCAATTAGCCGAACCGCTTTTGGTGAGATACTGATTTCCTCTACAGCGGGCCCCATAAGCTGTTCTACGTTCCGCCTATTTGACAGCATGGCATTTAGCTGTATGGATCGAGTCTGGAGGGTTTCGATTTCCGCAGAGACACTCCCTAATTCGCTCTGGAAATCGCTCAGATACGTTTCGACCGACTTTGATACATCGTCGCAGTCGGTGATTGATGAGTGTAATTCCTGGAACTTGTCCCTTTCCTTCTCGAATTGCTCGATCGTCTGAGCCCCAGCATCGGTGTTTTGGATCCTCCTCGGTTGGCGTTCGTCCTCTTTTGCGACGAATTCCTCAAGGCTAAGTTCCCCAAAGTCAATTGTCTCTGCCAGCTGTGAAGGCTTAGCCTCCGGGTCCGATGCCGTCGCCTTATCGGGGCTCTCCCCCTTTCGTTTGCTGAGGATACCATTCAGAACTTCGAGCGGATCAACAACATCGGAGGGACGAGTCTTGGTCGCATTCAGTCGCACATTTGCATCGCGGGCCGTTGCAGGAAGGGACGTATTCGAGTCATTCGGGGTCAACAACACTGATAAGGACGAGCCATGCCGATTCGAACCCGGACGGTTGTTCTGCGGTACCGGAGACAAATGAGAGGGTCTTCGAGGAATAGGAGAGCTGCCGCGACTATCGAACCCAGGTCCAGAGGGAGTCGAGTTGCCTGAGATGCGGTCGAGCCACATGATGGAAGCGAGGCCAGCACGGGGAAGCGTGCAGGTACCGGACAGATTTCCCCGGTCTCATTTGAGACGCAATTGACCGATCGTACTACCCCGTGTCCGCAGCAATGTGGACACTTTCATTGGAGGGGGTTATAATAGTAGCCAAGCAGCGAATCAGCACACGAAATAGTAAGACAATCAACACAAGCACATGGAGCTTTTCTACTCTGTACTACTGTACAATAACTGTTCGGCCATTCGTCACGAGACTAAAGGATACGGATCATTGATTTCCCGACGCTATGCCCTTTCAGGCTAGCGGGCCAGAAAAACCCCGCCACAACAAAAACCACCTAGTCGATTTGTCGATTTTTTTCCCTTTAATTTTTTAACCTCCTCCGCTCTCTTTTTGATATCCCAAGTCACTGTCATCTTTCTTCTTCCCTTTTTTAACCTTCTTTAAATCTACAAATACCAACCTTCACAATGGCTGACGAGGTATGTACTTGCCCTGGAATCCTAGTTTCCTTGGTGGAATTTCTTTTCCTGTGTTCTCGTTAGAGCCCCGCATCATCTTCCCCTCCTACTCTTGGCCCCTTCTGAGCCTGGGAAGATTTTTGTACACACATATAGAGAGAGAGGGAGGGGGACAAAGGAGATGCCTTCTCTCTCGATATCGTGGGATGAACGAGAATTGGAAGAGCATTGTATCGATCCCAAACTTCAGAAAACTGATATGTATGGTTATAGCACCACGAGACCTTCGAGTCCGCCGACGCTGGCGCGTCGACCACCTTCCCCATGCAGTGCTCTGCTCTGCGTAAGAACGGTCACGTTGTCATCAAGACCCGTCCCTGCAAGATTGTCGAAATGTCCACCTCCAAGACTGGCAAGCACGGTCACGCCAAGGTCCACTTGGTCGCCCTCGACATCTTCACTGGCAAGAAGCTCGAAGATCTGTCTCCCTCCACCCACAACATGGACGTCCCCAAGGTCTCCCGCAAGGAATTCCAGCTCGTGAGTTATCCCGGGGAATTGAGTCATCCAACGTTGCAGCTTACTAATGACTCATGTAGCTCGACATCACCGACGACGGTTTCCTCTCTCTCATGAAGGATGACGGTGACACCAAGGATGATGTTAAGATCCCTGACGGTGAGCTTGGTGATAGGATCAATAGGATGTTCCGTGAGGAGGAGAAGGACCTCAGTAAGTAACTTGATTTGTCGACTCTTCGGTCTAGTATCTGACCCGAATTCTTTCTTCAGACGTCACCATCTTGACCTCCATGGGCGAGGAGTGCTGCATGGACGCCAAGGAGGCCCCTAAGATGTAAACTTCCCTACGATTTCTTACGGATCTATTCATTTTGTCGAACTTTGTCTTCCAATGGACTTTCGTCAAGTTATGTCCTCAAGTTTGTGGATTACGACCCTTTTGGGCAGTCAGCGGCATGTCTGTTGCGTAACTCGTGTCCCATAATAATAGCCTTGGATGTGCATTGAAGCGGCAAAGGATTAAAAAAGAGTTGCTTTTTTTCTGTTGGCAGCATCAGCGTGCGTTGTCAGAGGAATAGTTCTGAGTTCACGATTTTTTGACGAACAATAAAATCATTCAACGGACTCCTCCAGTTCAAAGTCTGTAGATACGTGTACTCCGTAGACCCCGTAGAATGGTCGAGGTTGAGCAATCGCGCAGTTATGATTGGCTTAGACGTGGATAAAGTATTTATAGAGAAGGCTTATCTATATACGTACTCTAAAAGATCTTTCTAATTTCTTATTCTAACCTTTCTCTGTTTCTGTGGCAAGAGACCATACGCCGGTTCAGGCGTATAGGAAAAAATTCTTTCCGGACGCCAACCTATCACAGACTGCATAATACTCACCACCACATGCTGGATGTCTGATATCCAGATATCATGACCCACTGTGCCCTAAATGGAATACACTATCACTCGAGGGGTCTGTGGGCAGGAAGGGTGCCGTGAGAGACGGTATTATCTCGACAACGGGCTCTGGTTCTGCCGGCGGGGTCACCAGCAAGAGGTACATCCATATCGGATTTTAGTTCCGACGACTGCCATCGAAAATTATTGAATGCTGATTGACCGTTTAACTTTATGTAGGGTCGACAAGTCGAAGAAGATCCGGAGGATTATGGAACGCAGGGCAGGGCGCACCGTGTGAAGAAAGATGTGGTTGAGAAAGGACAGAAGAGTTCGTCGAGTACCCTTTTCTTTATTTCTGATCAGCTATGTACTAATATTCGAATAGCATATCGGGGCCAACGGGCATATAGTCTCTTCTTGCAAATATACCAGTTGATCCTGTGGAAGCAATGTCATGCCCTGGTCCATGTCCGGGGCTTTCCTGCCCAGTTCGAGGTATTCCACCAATACCACACCCGAAAAGGATTATCAGAATCGAGACTGACAGGCTTGCAGAATATCATTCGCGATCTATGGGCTCTTCGTCTGGAAGGATTTTCTAGCAAGATCAACGCTAATATGTCCGAGACAGAGACCGAAGAACCGGAGGTTTTCAGCTCTCAAGCCGCCGATACTGAGGATGAATCTGATAAGGCTTTCAAGCCCAGTGGCAAGCGCGTTCAATGGCCTCGACTGGTTGACTCGATTGCTCTCTGTTACATGGGTGCGCTGTTGATGAGGCTGCCTATTGGCATAGCCGACTTCCATAGGTAAATTTTTGTTTGACTCTGTGGGTGGACTACTTTCTGATAAGATCTTAGGATGGTGATGCAGGGAGACGTCCCATATCTTAGGATAATCAAGACCATTCCACGGGAAATGCGAGATAAACTTCCGCAGGAGTACTTGTCACTCCTCGAGACCACGGTATGATCCCATGGCTCTGAGATATCCCATGAGGGATGTTTTCTCTGACAATCTAAAGAGATTACCAAAAGCAGAGCATTTCCACAGGGCTGCGTTGGAATTGATTCTCTTCTATCACCGTCGATCCGGCGTGTATTTCCCACCTCTGAACGCTCCACTTCTACTCTTTCGATTTATCAAAAGACTTACTCTTCCAAGTACGTCTCATTACTTTCAACATCTATTCTGCTGCTAATGTGATAACAGTCGATATATACCCCGCTGTAAAGCAACTACAGAAACTTGTTGGGTTCACTTTCAGTTATCCAACAACTATCGCCGGCAAAAGACGGTCTCTTCACCTCCCTGAAGTGCAAACGATGACCCTCATTGTCATCAGTACCAAGCTTCTTTTCCCATTCGATGATGTGAAACGATACCCTGAATCAGCTAGAGAACCGAGCACTCAGGCGATTGATTGGCAGCTTTGGGCGCAGGTTCAAAGACACTTTGATAACCGGGAGGCATCTAGCGGCAGAATTGGGAAGGGGAATGAGGTCCTGGTTAACGAGAAAGATGTGTTCAATATGACACCGAATCAGTTGGATGAGTACCTAGATTGGTACGAGAATAGTTGGCTGGATAGCAGCAAAGGTGAGCTCATCGGCGATTTTGTGTTCTCAGTCTCGACTAACTCTGGCCTTGAATAGGAACCAATTCGCTAGCAGATTTGTTTCCGCTCGGCCCGGCGGGCGTGGAAAGCCAGCCCACTGAACCGCCGTCGGAAGCAGACGATGAAGCGTCGTTGAGCTCAATGCTAGAAACAGTGACGCGCCAGGTCAAGAGCATGAAGGTTGTCGCAAACCCGGAGAGCGAAGTCCCGCGCCCGGGTTCACTCTATCCTCGTTATCGACTCGACACTGACCTCCCCGAAATGGTGAGGCCTTTTTATGAAACGGCAGCAAAGGTGGTCGGGATCTCCCTGTCAACCCTTGTCAAAACGGTATTCCAGACAGAGGTTAGGATGGGCCACTGGCAGGAAGACCGGAGACGTATGGAATACTATGGGGAGATTATGGACATGGAATTTCCAGGGGATGCAGATGTAGACGACATAGAAGAAGCAGGAGATATTAACGAATAGACATGTTTAGAGCACCACGAGTTTTACCAAAGGTACTCATCTGTAGTGATTCCATGCTAGGAACATCGAACCAAAACCTTATCAATCAACATCAACGCCATGCATCATGTTGAAGATAAAGATACGGAGTATGGAAACTGTGGAGAAGCCCAAAATGGCACTTGCGTCGGGGCGGTATCAAAGCGGAAGCGGTCTAGGGCTTAGGGTATCACCAGGTCGGTCCACCCTTGCTAAGCGAGAATTCCCTCAAATTACCAGTGCCTCTACGACGCCCGACCTTCCAGCGATCGTCAGCCAGCAACAACGAAAAATCGCAACCAGTACGTATAATGAAGTGCCTTTTTACGGTTCCCGTTTGTTATGGAGAGAGATGAGCTGACAATATATTTTTCCCGGATTTTACAGTGCAGATGTAGGTCTTTTTCCACCCCCCAAAGCCCATCGAAACCGGTCCGCTCGGCAATAAGAAACGAACCGAACGAAAAGATATCATGGATAAAATTCGAATTGGAAGGAAGGACAATGTCACTGACATGATTTCTGAATCGCAGTTTCGTCAAGACCCTGACGGGTAAGACCATTACCCTCGACGTCGAGTCGAGCGACACCATCGACAACGTCAAGGCCAAGATCCAGGACAAGGAGGGTATTCCCCCGGACCAACAGCGCCTGATCTTCGCTGGTAAGCAGCTTGAGGATGGCCGCACCCTGAGCGACTACAACATCCAGAAGGTACGGACTTCCCTTAAACAATGCGGGATATGAATGCGCGGTTTCGCCACGGCTCGGATTCATCGGAATGGTCGCATTTTATGAAAGAAGAGACGGAATATATTTGGCTGTGATGGAATCGGTTGACTGACGGATGCTTTTGCGAATTTATAGGAGTCCACCCTTCACCTTGTCCTCCGTCTCCGTGGTGGTATCATCGAACCCTCTCTCAAGGCTCTCGCCTCCAAGTACAACTGCGACAAGTCCATCTGCCGCAAGTGCTATGTACGTTCCTACCTCCCGACCCTCTGAACGACTTTCGGACCCCCAGAATTCTCATCTTGAAATCGGCTGCTGACTTGTCCGACTAATAGGCCCGTCTCCCCCCTCGTGCCACCAACTGCCGTAAGAAGAAGTGCGGTCACACCAACCAGCTCCGCCCCAAGAAGAAGCTCAAGTAAACGATTCGTTGTTGTTACGATTTTTCTGCGTTGCTGGGGATGTTGCCTGGTGGCCATGTATTCATTGCAACCTGGGAGAATAAAAAAGGCGTTGATATGATGAAATGTTATAGCCCAAGTCAAATACTTATTACTTGACTTCTCCTCGCAACGTCTTGCAATCGAATACATTGTAAAAAAAAAAAAACTCATTGCACTCTTGATTTTCTTCCTAAGATAGGTACAGGTACAATATGAAAACAGCAAACATGATGGACAACTTGCTACCTGAGCAAGAAGTCAATGGATGCGAACAAACCCAGGAACGATTGGAACTGGCAATGACATCCTCCGCTGGTCCCCTACATCATAAACATCCGCCTCTTGTCGTCATCATGGTCATCGTCATGCTTGTTCTTCTTGGAGACGGGGCTTCCATGACTGCGATTCGAACATTTTTAGCTTCTATACTCCAACAGACAGGAGACGTTAGGGAAACTCACGCAAAGAAGAGGATCTTGATAGCAATCGCCAAACCCGCATGTAGCAGAATGACCAGAACCAGCAGAATCTTGCTCGCCTTGGCATCCGTAGCACTCAGGACGGGCCACAAGTTGCGCAGCAAGAAGAACACCGTCCAAGCGAACCCAACACCAACAAGAGCCCAGTTCAGCGCCGTCAACGGACTCCAACTGACCAGCGCGACGGCAATCCAGATCAAATTCGAGTATCCGTACAAAGCCCAACACTCAATCAAATCCGCGGTGGAGCTACCGAACCAGCGCAGCGCTCCCCACAGCGCAATAGGCACAACACCCGTATACCCATAAATCAAACCGGCCGCGCCCGAAAGAAGCGTAAAGTCGTACTCGAAATGCTGGTCGTCGTTATTCGAGAGCCATTGCGAGATCGTGCCCGTCAGGAACAGGATCACAACCACCGTCGTAGCGATCCAGAACGGTCCGTACAGGTCCGCGTTGCCTTCTAGGACGTCGAGGAAGTTGGTGCGCGGGTAGACTGCGGCGACGCAGCGGCGTAGAACCTCGTTCGTGTCGACGTCGAAGAATTGCGCGTAGTAGTGGAGTGACCACCAGCGGTGCTTGGAGGCGCTGCCGCCGGGGGACCTGTCGCGGCCGTGCGAGTGCGAAGGGCCTGCTCCGCCGAGGAATGGTGCAGTGTCTTGTTGCGCTTTTGCGTTGCGTTGGTCGTTTTCGAAGTCTGTTCACGGGGATTATTTAGCTTTGCCCTTGGGTGCGATCGGAGAGACAGTAACGTACTGGACGGATGGAATTCAAGGTCATCTTGGAGATCGGTATGCCCGAGGTCGCCCTATTAGATATAGCTCTGGTATCAGCGAGACTATTCGTTCAAGAACGAACAATGCAGTTTATCTCACCTCTGCATCCACATCTACAACGACATCGTATCCCCGATTCGCCATGTTGGCTGTTTTTGCTTGGATGTTAATGTAGCGACAAAGCGATTGATGGTATGGGAGGGGAGGCTGTGGTACAGGGAAGATGTAAGAGTACACATCAGCGCCGCGTGCCGTTATCAGCCACATCCACCAGCCACAATGTGGAGACTGTCATACCGGATGCGGAAATTTTGAGATCTAACGGCTTCACAGATTAGTCGTTCATGGGTTTGATAATTATTTGATTTATAGAATGCCTGGGTTCAGACAAATTAGCGAAGACTTTTATTATGTTGCTATTCTATCACGCCCATATGTTACATGGTCCCGCTGTATAGAACGGGCAGTCCAGCCATCTTGACATGTTTTAGTTCGATAAGAGAAATTAAGTGGACTATTTCAGAAGAAGCGATCCTCAAAAGCCGCCTTAAAGTTACCCATGTACGACCAGATTGATGCGTCGAATCCCTTCTTCCGTATCCAAATAGACACGGCACCAACGAAGACGGCGACGACAACAGAGCCAATCGCCTTTCTGTGTGTCCACAAGAGCCCAAGTGCTTTCTTTCTCAGTTCATCGTTGCGAAGTTGCCGTGTTTGCTGGTCAAATAGCTTTACCGCATTCTTTGCTGTCTGCTCCCGGAAAGGATCCCGAGAGCTCTTCAGCACACTGCATGCCGGAATTTGCTTCCAGACTCCAAAAGGCAATGACTCGGGTGGATAGTCATTAAAGAGCTGTACAGCGCTCTGGATCAGACCGTCAAGGTCTAATGGACTTGGAAGTTTGGAAAGAGTGAAATGCATCATCTCCGGCTCGTCCACCGGAATCTCTAGCAGTTCCTTTTTACGGGAGAGGATGATCGCTGCGAAAAGGTAGATCGGAACGACAGGTTCATGTGCGAGGAGGAAGTCGAAGAGACGGGCGATATCGCTGTACTCTTGGATGTCGTGCGCATATAATGTAAGCGTAGCCGCGAGGGCGAAGAATGGCCTGACGTCCGAGAGATGCTGTCGCAAGCCTGGGTCCGCTCGTTCAATGATTGCTGGAATAATCTGCAGGTGTTTCAAAGACGGTTTGAGCGATGGAAGCATGTAGTCTCGTATCCGAAAGAGAGAAATTTGAGTAACCGCTGGTGCTGCTTGCTTTTCTCCCAGTACCAGGAGCAAAACTTGTACAATGTCATGGTATCCCTGGAAATAGCAAAGATATGGATAGTTCCGTAGCACGTTCGTGATCACATTTGATAGTTCGTCTTTCTTTTTGGACAACTCTTCATCGGTGCCTAAATTTTCGATTTAGTTTGTTATCTTTAAATTTGATACCAAGCTTCTCAACACTAACCGCTAGGGTAGTAGACAAATGACCTGTGCACGTCCAGCTGAACCTGGTCTTCATCTGCATGCCGTGGCAACTCGTTCCAATCTTTATCATCGTCTCGTCTGGCTTGCTGGCACCGTAGGAGAATTGGCCCTGACCCATGTTACCATCTTGTACTTTATCGCACCATAGTGGCAGGAGCAAACTTACATGCTAGCTGGCGCAGGTCGTCCCGGAGGAAACCACCTTCTGATCTCGCATGTGAAACCAATGCGTCCAGGTCTCCCAAGTCGCATGCTCGCCGGATGGCATCCACCTTCTCAGCCAGATGACTTTCATCTTGCTCCTTCTGTAGTATCACAGGTTCCTCATCCCGCGCGTCCATAAGGTGCTTTGATTCTTCATGGATGATGGCCTCCTCTGAACCATTGTCGTTCTCATGGGTCGCTGTAGATGGATCCATTGCTGCCACAAGTTGGTATGAGGTCAAATATTGAGCGCCAGAAATTTACTCTCCGGCCTGTTTTGTGGTGACAACTGTCTTTATAAGGCTCGTTTTCTCATCCATGCATCGGACGGATAGTATATGGAGTGAGTAATCAGCAAATGATTATTTCTCCTTCCTCTCTTTCAACCTGTGCACAGCAAACAAGGCTCTGAGAATCCTAAAACAACAGTCTGCAATGTCTCAGCAGTCTGTCGTGTGACTTTTCGATTTGCTATCTGGCAAAGGCGAGGTTGATGGAAGTTCTTGGCCACTTCATCGCCGAAACGGGGTTATTTTATGCCTCAGGCCACAAATGTCCCGTGATTGCTGCGAACGCCGACCGCCCAACAAACAAGTCAATTCGTACGCTTCGGCTTCAGCTCAGCTTTCCCTCGAGGCAAAAAGAAAGAGATAATATTGGCGAGGACGGTTTCCACAGTCGAGCGCTTGACGGCTAGTTGGACATACACATCCGGGTTGTGGTTGCACAACAGAAACGACCGTTGCAAGACCGTCGGTTAGAGCTGCCTGAATAGAGGCGCATATACAAAATTGAAACTCGACGCTTCTAGGGCTTGTTCCCTTTTCAAGACTGGTCATCGGATTCATCAATTGCCTATTTTGAGCGGCATTGGGAAAGGCTCCGAGACCGTGTTGTTGAATATTGACGTCCGCATATATCCCACCAACCGGTTCAGGGCCAGAGTCTAGCAGTGTTGCTGGTCTTTATTAAGGTTGGAGGTCTATAGATTGAAGCTTCGCGGCTCGCAGGGCATGATCTAACATTGGGCTATAGGCACTTCTCTCTCTTGCGCTGAGCGTTTATTTTGCATTCTCGTGACCTGGAAGTGGGGTTGGAATAATCCCAGCGACTCTAAAGTGCTCTTTCGCCTTTGCTGAACCTTAACGTGACAATTGGCTTATTAACAGCATCATCTATGGGAGAATCGTGTTCATGCCACCCTAACCATGATTAAAAAGAGCTCCTCGGGTTTACTTTCGCTATAGACTTTCCTTTTCTTCTCGTCTTTGCTGCTGTTCATAGGTGAACGTTGATGAATCGCCCTGGTTTCATCCTCTCTTCATTTTGGACAACCAGCATCACATTCTTGGCCGTGAAAAGATTACCTCCATTCTAAAAATCACTTGACGGGACACCATGACATCCCACCAAGATCCAGATATCTCCATGGCCAATGCCCCAGATGAGATTAGGGAGTTCGTCAGACAACGGGAGTCTGAAAAGGGGCAGTTGTCCATTCCCTCTAAGCCAAGGGTTGGATTGCTTTCGCATACGGTAGTGCCTAGTCCGACCATTCAATGGATCCTACCTGCACACCTGCGGAGTCAGCGACACAACGATGTGGTCTTCGTCGGTGATCGTCACATACAGATTCGAGAGGCCGTGTCAGGAATCCATTTGGAAGATGTTACCTCGAAATCTGACTTTGATGCCCAAATCATGGCCGCGAAGGTGATTAACGTGGGCACAGAACTGCCATGGGAAACTCAGATGAAACAGGGTGCTGGTCATTTAGCCACGAACGAGCCTCAGGATGGTTTGCCTCCCCAGGTTTTGGTCCTGAGTCTAGCCTCGAGAGAGCTAGTTTTTCTTTATTATTCGATGGCCGGCGAAGGCCAATTTGTCAGTTATCGACGGCCTCTGCCCAACGATGTCAACTTGTTCGAGCAGTTTGGGCGGAATGTCGCCGTGGAGCCAAGGTAAGCCTTCCTTGGAGTTGTGTAATAAGAACGTCGCTCAACATTCCTTCCCCAGGTCTCGTGCAATAGCAGTCAGCGCCTCGTGCGATTACTTCGGGATCTTCATGCTCAAAGAACCACCAGTCCTCCAGTCCCAGATGACCAACAACCAGTTGGATCCAATACTAGAGGTTTGTCTTGGATGACTCTGCCACTATCCCTACCAAGAATGGGTCTAACATCGCTTCCCCTACAGGAGCGGTTCTTCCGTGTCGACGGCGACATACTATTTATGGAATTCTTATATCCCAAATCAGAAGGCGAGAACAAGATTATTCTGCTACTCTTAGTTGCCCAAAATCAGATTACCCATGCCATCTGCTACGAGTGGGATGCGAATATCCCTATACGAAATGCTCCACCACGGGTTACCCGGAGATTATTACCGTTCGAGGACAGACTACCTACCATGGTTATCCCATTGACCAAAACTTCGTCGTTTATGCTCGTAACCCCCAGCTCGATGGCGGTCTACAAGAACAGACTGGATCCTCGCAGGCAACCCAGCCGATACCCTTTGCCTTTCTGTGATAAACAAGCCCAACGGTCACCCCTCTGGACTCGATGGGCGAGACCTTTGCGCAACTGGATTTACAATCAGAAACATGACGATATCTACCTGTGCCGCGAGGATGGCAGGATCTTTTACCTTGAAATCGGCAACGAGGGTGAGATCGAGAACCAAACCTTCCTTGGACTGCTTCACTGTGATGTGGATGCGGCTTTCGATACACTTGATATTGGGCATGAGGGTGGTGATCTTCTGCTAGCTGCAGGGAATATGGGCGATGGTGGATTATTTGTCCAAAAAGCGCGGGACCATCCGCGATGTGTCCAGAAGTTCATGAACTGGACCCCGGTGACAGATTCTGTGGTCGTCAAGTCCACAGCTCATGATTCCTTGGCGGCAGACGTTGCTAGTGACCGATTGTTTGTATGCTCTGCATCTACATTTGGGAAAGGTGCAGTCTCTGAGATTCGATATGGAATAGAGGCGCAAATTGGTCTGGCAGTGGCGCTGGAGGGGCTGTCCAGCACAAGAGACATATGGACCATGGCAGATAATGTAAACGGGGGCGTTTGCATTCTGACCACCGATCCAGTTTCATCACTTCTGATCTATATCCCCGCTGATTTCGGTGAGGGGATTTGCGCCATCGACGAGGAAGAATCAGGCTTGGACTTTTCCTGCCAAACTTTGGCGGCGGGCTGCACTCAGTCTGGTGCCATTGTTCAAGTAACTGAAATAGCAGTGCATCTCGGAACTGTTGCGGAATCTCCGGCTGTCCGCCATGATTATGGCCCGACTGAAAGTGTTGCGGCTGCAGCTATCAATGAATCGGCCGGGTTGGTTGCGACTGTTATTCGCTCACATAAGGGGTCACAACTTCACCTCATTCGGATAAACTCGACAGATAGCCAACACCAGCTGTCTAGCATTGGTGCACAGATCGATGTCAACCATGAGCCGGTTTCTATGTCCATTGAGCGCCTTGGATTTTCTTGTTTCGTCTTCATAGGGACGGGTAGTGGAAAATTGTTGATCTACCGCGTTGTAGAGGACACAATTACTTTCTTGACTGATATCGATATTAACGTGGAAGAGAGTGTCGACATTTCCAAGGCTATTGAGAGCCTTGCGATCATAAGCATTGCCACAGGTGACTCGTTAGAAAAGGCTATTCTATTCTGCGGTCTACGAAGTGGAATCCTGGTCTCTTTCGGGGTAACTGTCGATAATGACAACATTAACACGCCTATCAGTGAGCTCTGTGTGTCTAACATCACATCACATTAACTAACTTGAACTTGCTATTTAGGCATGAAGCAAGGAATTCCACAACGACTGGGACACACCTCCGTCAAGGTGCAGAGCAAGGGAAACGCTGCGTTATTGACATGTGGAGAGGGCTTCTGGCAGGTCTCGTGTGTCGAAGATGGAGAGCTACCTGAGTACACTCTCCAACGGGTTTGGATCACTGACCAAAACAATGTAAGTCTTCAAGGTCTTCCCGTATTTGTCACGGTGTCTGACTTTCTTTTAGCCTGCCTACTACCCAAAGAGCATCTACGGATTTACGACTAGCAATGTTGTCAATCCAGATATGGACGACGCTTTCAATTCGCTGTCCTGCGTTGCAGATGAACAATTGTTTATCTGTACACTGGACCGCGAGGCGAGGACAGTTCCGCGACGAATCAATATGCCAGGAAGTGCCAACAGGCTGGCTTATTCAAACCATTTGAAGAGTCTAATCGTGTCCTATACCCAAACTGAACTCGATACAAGCCTGGATCCTGTCAGACGTTTTACGCGTCCGATGGTTGATTTTATTGATCCAGACTTCCAAGACTCAGCAATCAGCTTGCCTGGCACGGAAAAAGGACCCCAAACATGGAGACCACAAGGAGCGGCCGGTGAGAAGATCACTTGCATTCTTGAGTGGACGCCTCGAAAAGGAGACGAAGAATACCATCTCATCGTTATCGGGACGGCCCGCAAGAATCAGCAGGAACGAGGCCGGGTCATATTTCTGCAGACGTCACGGGATGCGTCCAATCCGTCTCAAATCGAATGCTCTGTCAAATATGTGCACAAGTTCGAGGGGCCAGTATATTCCATTACACCATATGGCCCATTTACGTTGATGGTCTCATCTGGCCACGAGATTATCCCATTGGAGCCCAAGTTCTCCCGGACACGATGGGGTCGGGCTGCAAGGTACTCAACAGTATCGCCAGCGATCTCTATATCGGCACACGAGCCGTATGTGTACCTGTCGACGGCAAGAGAGTCGCTTATGGTGCTCAAGGCTTCTGGCGACAAATTGAGTATGTATGCGTATGATCGTCACCGACATGATGGGCTATCTCACGTCCACATTGGCGGACCACTGAACCTCACCGTTGCCAGTAGCAGAGGCGGCACTGTCAGCGTGTTAACAGAGAGGGGAGTCACAGAAACGGATAAGATGATGCCACATTCGCTATGCGAAGCCCATCTTCCACTGTCTGTGATGAAACTGAGTCTTGGTTCCAAGCTGTCCCCTCTGAACTCTTCTTCGCGAGTGCTCTACGGAAGCACAATCAACGGCACCACGTACCGATTCTTGACTCTGGGGGAGAAGGACTGGCGA